CCCCCCCCTGTGTTCCTGCCATGGACTGGAAGTCTATAAAGTCCCCAGCAATCAGTTCCTTGACGACGTAGGGTTGTTTTCGAGGTTCTGGCGTATCCAACGGCAGCGTACCACTGTTCAGGTGTATACAGTTCAGTGTACCTGGTTTTTCTTTCGATCGTTGCAAGAATCAAATCATTCTCTGTTTCGGTGTTGCCTTTTTCAAGGAATGTTTTTTAGTGATGCTTTCGAGGTTGAGGTGCTTTCTTTAAAAAAATATGGCGGAGGCAACAAACCTGTTCCTGTTTTGACCGGCACAGTTATAAAAAAAACCATGTGAATGGTCTTGACATCTTTTCTGTGTTGTTCCTCAATGTAGTGAAAAAGTCGTGGACACTTCGTTTGAGCCTCTGTTCCCTTCGTGCTACACTTCGTTTGAGCCTCTGTTCCCTTCGTGCTCAGGCCAAATATAAAAATGGGCATCTCCCTTCGTGTAATCATTAATGGTGAAGTTGTACACCTCTAGTCTTCTTTTGTAAAAATAACTTGAACTTTGTCCATGAGAACGGAGGAGAATTTGTTGTAAATCAAAAGCGCAGCCTGTATAATTATGATGGTGCTTTCGAGGTAGCTTTTGCTTCGTCTTTTATCAGCCAGGCTATTTCTGTATTCTGTGTGTGCTTATTGTACAGTCTCTTCCTCCTCACTTCCCGAAGGCAATGAAGGTTTCACACTTGTCTTTTTTTTTAACCTGTGAAACGCCAGATTAAATTCGTAATAAAAGATTCGCTTGTACGTGTCCTCGAGAGCCTTCATCAATCAATTTCTCTCGCAAATCTCTAAAGACAGACAATACATGGCAGCTACAGATAAAGCAGAGTCTATATACTTCTTCTCAGTGTCTCAGTGTCAGTTTGACAGTAACGTGAGCCAGCTGGTTGAAATGACATGATATGGTCCCTCAGTTGGTTGACAGGGTCCTCTGAAACTTTCCTTTGGTGCCCATGCTTGCCCTGTTTTAGTAATTTCAAATGGCCATTAGAAAATTGTTTTAGGGTTTGATACAGAAAATTCTTCCCAAAATCAAGAGTCTTGGTAAAAAATGTTCCGCAGACTTGGATATATCCTTTATTCTGGTTTGTAAAAAAAATACATGATGGGACTATTTCTCTTTTCTGATCCCACTCTCTTCCGCTTCACGTGACACTGCTCAGAGTGTCTTAAAATGTACTACAAGATTTCTACACTTGTCTGTCCCCGAAGGGCCAGAATTAATTAAATAGCGTTTGTCTGTTGCACTCATTTAAATGTACTGAACATTTCAATTATTGATTTTTAGATAAATGTACATCACATTTCATGTAGGTTCTACTGCTGGGATGGAAAATGGATGAGAAAATTATTTTTTTAAAATAATAATTTGAAAAAAAAACACCCCAATGCTTTACACGAGTTTGGTTATTTTGGCTATTACGTGTGGTCTAAATAAGGTTTGGTGGGGGTTCACGTTATTTAAGTAATATTACAGGCCATGTCATACATGTGGCCTTTTCTTTATACATGTATATATATATATTGTTTAACGACTTCTCCCATCTACTTAATTTTTCTACCTGTTTATCAGTGGCATTCACTGGATTTATTGAAACCAAATATGATTGGATTTCCATTCTCATTCTCCCTGAATATATCTACGAAGAGAACAGTACCTCAGAAAGACGAACTTTTAGGAAAAGCTCAAAGAGATAGATCTAATAGTCTTGTCAGATTGTTACTGTTTACATTTCTTACATGAAAGTTTGACTCTGACTGCAATGATCTGACCAAATTGACATTATTATAATACATGTATGAAGATGGGACTGGCTATAATGTGTACAATTATAACTGTATTGCACTGGGTCCGAGAAAACGACAGGAAGCAGTAATCTAATAACACCCCCCAACCCCTTTTCTCTCTCTCCCTCTCTCTTGCTTGTTCTCACTCTCTCTTTTTCTTTCTCCCCCCCTCCTCTCCCTCTCTCTCTGCCCGCACAATTAAAAAGTAGGTATACATACATGTGTTTCACTGGTTTGTTTATGTAGTACGTGCGAATGTGAAAGACAAGCGATGTGCATCGCGCTCGTAAAATTCAAAGTCGAAGCTGAAAGTTAGGGATATTTTTATTATGATTATATTGTTTATCTGCAGATATCATTGAATTCATGAATTTGCGAATGAATCCCATTCATCTTCACCTTCACCTATCCTGCTGTCTGGCTGGACGTTGGGCAACCATGGCAGAGTTTACAACCAGCTTCTTCCACTATTCACGATGTTCATCTTCCCGTTGTAACATGTTGCTGTCATAACCAGCCCACCCTTCGATGTTGTCTTCCCACCGTTTTCTGTGTGCCTCTCAATCTCCCTTCTTGTGCTGTTCCCTGTAGAACAGTCTTGGCCAGTCCAGATGATCGTGCGATGTGCCCGTGCCACTTAAGTTTTGGTCTTTTCACGGAAGGCAGGTCTTCATACGGCCCGCTTGAGTTCAATTCTTATTCTTTTTTACCTTAATGGTTTTATAATCTCTATGCGAGATGTCGAGGAGTTTCCGGAAACATCTCGTTTCCAGTGTATGTATCCTTCTTTCATTACTTTCAATGTTTGATACCATGGTCCACGTTTCACATGTGTATAGACATACAGTTAAAATTATGACCAA